GGAGGGAAGGGAGGGAGCGAGGAGGGGGTAGAGAGTCGAGAGGGGAGCTGAAGGCTCGGTCAAAGAGAAAGGTTTTGAGACCGGCCTTGTAGGAGGAGAAGGAGGAAGCAAGGCGAAGGCACTGGGGGATAGAGTTCCAGAGCCTGGGGGCTGAGAGGCTGAAGGCCCGACCACCGATGGTAGGGCGATTGAGGCGGGGGACGTGGAGCAGACCGGAGCCGGAGGAACGGAGGGTACGGGCAGGTAAGTAGGGGAATAGTAGGTTGGAGAGGTAGGAGGGAGCAAGGCCGTGAATGGCCTTGTAGGTGAGGATGAGGATCTTGAAATCAATCCTCTGGGGGATGGGGAGCCAGTGGAGGCGAGCGAGGGTGGGAGTGATGTGGTCGCGAAGCCTGGTGCGGGACAGTACACGAGCTGCAGAGTTCTGAATGACCTGCAGCTTGTGGAGGGAGGTGGCGGGAAGGCCGGCGAGGAGAGAGTTCCCATAGTCCAGCCTTGAGGTGACAAAGGCGTGAACCAGGGTTTCAGCAGCGTGAGGGGTGAGGTAATGCCGTAGTCTGGCGATGTTCCGGAGGTGATGGAAGGCGGTGCCAGTTGTGGTGCGGATGTGAGGGAGAAAGGACAGCTCATGGGTCGAACAAAACGTTCGACCTCGGGGCCTCGGTTTTTCGCGCGTTGAGCTGAAGAAAGTTGTCTCTCGTCCAAGACTCGATGTCAGACAGGCAGGCTGTCGCGAATTTTGAACTCTATCCTCTGGGGGATGGGGAGCCTGTGGAGCCGGGTGAGGGTGATACGGTCACAGAGCCTGTTGCGGGAAAGGACACAAGCTGCAGAGTTCTGGATGATTTGCAGCTTGTGGAGGGAAAAGTTGGGAAGGCCAACAAACAGGGAGGAGGCGTAATTGAGCCTAGATGTAATAAACACATGGTTGAGGGTTACGGCAGCCTAAGAGGAGAGGCGGTGGTGGAGCTGGCTGACGTTGCCGAGGTGGGGGAAGGTCATGGAAATGTGGGGTAGAAAGGACGGTTGAGGGTCAAGCAAGACACCAAGGTTCTGGACTGGCTCAATGAGGTAGAGTGTGCATCCATGGATGGTGATGCTGCCAGTGCCTGAGGTGTGGAGGCACTGACCGGAGCCAATCAGAAGGGCCTCAGTCTTGTTGTGCAACTGGAGATCGTTAGCTCTGATGGGAAGGTCACCTCCTCTTGTTCCGAAGGTGTTTGAAAAAGAAGAGATGCCGCAATGTGTATCTTATGAATCATAAAGGTAATAAACAATACAACAACCATAACATTTTCCAAATTGTTTCTTCCTTATGCTTGCAGTATTGTCAGCACCATCATTAATCCTTTGTTGTGAATGTCATCACACAACACCATTAAGAGCATATTAAGAGCTTGCACTTGTACGAACCGTGACTACCACAGAAAAACAAACCCCAAATTGAATAAAATCACCCCATCAAATTAACAGATGTCAAGTATCCCAGAATGATTACAGGGCAGTAATTTAATTCCAGGATTTATATGATGGTTATGTTTTTATTGATGATTTATCACTTCATCTTAACACCTCGATTAGATTACTGTCTTGAGATCACTCCCTGATGTCCTTTATTCCCTCTGTATAACCAGCACATATTACTGCTGAAGACAGGTACAACCCATTTAGTATGGCTGTTTATTTCAACAGTGATTATAATTTATAGCCTTTGAGGACGGCTCCAGGTGTTTTCATATTGTGGTGCTGATGACCTTTCCTACTATTTACAGGTTTGTTTCAAATCCATCAATGATAATACTGTCTGGTCTGAAAACACATGACCATTCAACAAGATCAAGCCCCTGACCTGGTGACAAATGTACACAGCGATCTCAGTAATGATATTTATTTCTTCTAGAAACACTTCTAACGTGGTCATCAATGTTGTGGCTTATGCTGAAGACCTTCCTTTCACAACTCTATAACATATATACATGTTGGGTTTTGCCCACAAAATATACAGTCAATTCATTTTACAGTAAAGCTCTTTGAGATGTCACAAAGATATGATAAGGAGCTATATCAAATGCAAGGATTATTATGATTATTATTATTATTATTAGAATATACGTGAAAGGGAATCCATGTGATCCTGATCCAAATTCATGTTTAAAACTCCATTGTGTTTTTCTTAAGGTGTTGGTGGCAAGGTGCAGTTAGCAGTACAGCCATTCTGATACCATTTGTTATTTACAAATTCCCTACAAACTGCTGGTTCAATATGCCAGTGGGTGGAAAGGCTTGTAACTCTGATTAGTTGTGTAGAATTTTGAAGCAGTCATTTTTAACAGAATGATATATATGCCTTGTGGTGTAAACTCCTACTAGTGCAATAAAGTAATGCAGTGTTTCTATTTTTATACTGTGCTACTGATTTTTGTGTCCAGCGATATTGAAAGATGTGGGATTGGGAATGGGTGAAATGTTCCACAATTAGAGTAAGGTTATCTTGAGTATCTCAAACCATGTAAGCTGAGAGCTTGAGCCTCAACACTAATCAATAATTAATCAAGTTTCTAATAAACCTATTATTTGCCTTGAACTGTGCTTATTATTAAGTTGGACTTCATTTTTGTGTGAATCTGTGTTCTCTTCAAGATGAGAGATAATATAATGTATGTCAGAAAAGGGAAATTAAATTTGATTTTACTTTTGGCACCCATTGACGAGATCAAGCACTCCCAAGTCAGATACAGCAGAGAGAAGATGAGAGTAGTGTCCTTTACTCGGCCTCAACTCTGCTTTAGTACAAACTACAAATTCCCACCGCCTCTTGAAACAGAAAGCAGTTTTGCACTTCTCAAATGAACTGTCCTTTTGGTCTTTCTGAATTGGATTGCCAATTGACAGCAATCTGACCTAAATTGTGGCAACGTTTGTGCTGTCATATTATGTTCAAAGTGAACTGTGTTAAATGTGTGCAAACCCATTTCTCCTTGGACTCTTACACTTTCCTGGGAGAGGGGAGACCATCATTCTTGTACAGTATTTCAATTCATTCAATCTCAGATTCCAAAGGTTTAGGCCATTGTGACAACTAGACGTCAACTACCTTATACTTATGTTGGTTTACAAAATGCTCTTTCTCAATACCGTATCTTAGTGGTTAGAGCACTCGCCTCGCAAATGAGAGGACCTGGGTTTGATTCCTGGCAGGGCGAAACGTTGGGCAAGTTTCCTTCTACCACATGCCTCTGTTTACCCAGCAGTAAGTAGGAACCCGGTTGTTAGTCGATTGGCAGATAATAAGGGATAATAATCCCTTTTTAAAAAAATTTGGTCACTCAATCCACAACTGTTTGTGGGACACTGCTGCCGCGTTTCGCCCACAAAATATACAGTCAATTCACTTCACAGTACGTTCTGTGATAAAGGGCTATATCAGATGCAAAGGGTTATTATTGTTACCGTATGTGTGATGGTGATTATTGTCACCACATTCACTGTTACAGGGTGTTTTGAATTTTACACACAGAAAGGGACAATGTTACAATGAAATCATTAGTGAAAGGTTTTATCAAAGAATAGCAGAGAGCAACTTTATCTGCGTTAGAGAGGTGAGTTAAGAGGAACAAGTTTAAAAGCTAAGTTGGTGTTCCCCAAATCAGAATGGAAGTGGCAGTCGGGTGTGAAGCGGCATTGGCGAGCTCAGTGGCTGCAGTGAATGTCTAATCAGCCAAACCATTTTTACAAAGTCAGGGGAGGCATCTCTTCTGGCAGTTATTGACCGGGAAATCTCCAGGAGCGCAATGTCCAATGTAGTGAGAATTATCATATCATATACCGCATTTTTAACCCTGTGATATCGATTTTTTTTGTGTTCAGTAAAACTCGTGAGTTACTAGCTGTGTAGTTCAGGAGGATATAAAAGGACATTGTGTCCCCCTGTTTTTGTGCATTCTGAGCTTCACTGTTGCTTACTTTACGACCTATTAAGTATCCAGCGTGTAAGAATATCAGTTGTTTGCCGACGGAGAATGTTACTGATTTTGTTTATATTATCAACCATTGTCCTTTGTTGCAGTGTTCATATCTATTTTGCATAAACAGACATTCAGAATGATCCCAGCATTGTTACGTTATATCTCATGTGTAGACAGTTATCCAGACCTCTCCCTTGCTAGTTTTACGACTGTTGGGAGGAAATGTTCTTTTTTTCTCTCATGGTAAATTAGGAATAGTTATTATTTGCTAACTTCAAAATGCTAAAGATTTGGTTACTGTTTCTTGGTAGAATAAATTCAAGCATTCCAATCTCCTTATACGAATGCAGTTTGTGTATTCCTCATCCCTCTCCTCCCCACCCCCACCCCCCCCCCCCCCCCCACCCCCAAAATAAAGTCCATGCAGGATTTGAATAACCCAAGTTTAAGCTTAAAGGTGGCTCAGGAAATTAAGTACAGTTTGATCTAAGTACAATATATGGAACCCTATAAATTAGAGGTTAGAGCACTCACCTCGCAAGTGAGAGGACTTGGATTCAATTCCCGGCAGGGCAAAACGTTGGGCAAGTTTCCTTGCTCCACACACTTCTGTTTACCTAGCAGTAAGTAGGAACCCGGTTGTTAGGCAATTGGCGGATCACTTTTCCGGGGATAATAATCCATCATATTTGGTCACTCAGTCCACGACTATTTGTGGGACACTGTTGTGCGAAATTGGCTGCTGTGGTTCGCCCACAAAATATAGTCAATTCACTTTACAGTATATTCTGTTTAGCACTTTGAGACATCTCGAAGACTTTAAGGACTATTATTATTATTATATGGTAACTCAGAGTACAGACAAAGGCTTGGCTATGGTGGCTCCAAAGATAGAATATATGGTGTATAGTTTTTGAGAATAACTACTCGGGGTAAGGTAGTAGAATGTGAGTAACTTCCTTGCAGAAAGGAAATTTGAGAAAAAAAAATCTTAAATCTACTCATAAACCTTTCCCTTCTGTTCCCTTTCTACAGATGTGCTGGTAGCTGGTCAGCCCTGTGACTGTGATGTGGTAGTGGAGTGCCAAACTGGTGACCCAACATCTCTGGAAGTAAAGCTCACGAACCAGAGCAAAAACACTGTGGGACCATTTGCCCTCACTGTCCTCCCATACCAGGACTATCAAAATGGGGTCCACAACAATGATCTCGGGCATGTTATTACTTCAATTGGATCCAACACATTCTATATAGATTCAGTGAGTAAACCTTTTAAAAATTGAGTGTTCCATAAAAGGCAAGCCTTGTTAAGTTCAGCATCTGGGACAAACACAGTTTATTAGTGTTTCAGAACTGATCAATAAATCCAAACAAGATTCATTGCAGTAGAAATGTCAAGATAAAGATTAACTTTGCTGCACAAAGGTATCCAGAAGGAATAAACAAGGATTGTATCTCTTATTTGACATCAGGAATCCTACAGATGAACCTTCTGCCACATACCATTTGACCACAAGTGGTTGCTTCAAATAGTTGTATTCTGACATGAATTATTATAGAACAAAACACAATGGCAAAGTAGATTGTATCAGTGATAGCAGAACAAGCTCAGAATTGCTTTTATATTACTTTTCTATGCTTGAATTTTATGAGTACAGGAGTGTTATGTAAGATTGATCAGAGAAAGGAAGCAGAAACAGAAAAGTGTGGGGGAAAAGTGGACAAGATAAAGTTCTGATTAGAGCCCAGACTTGCTCTTAAAGCAAAACACTCTTCCACAATGAATGAAACGTTTTAGATGCCCTGTTGTAAGTGATTGTATGGCTGAGGCTTTACAGCCATCCAAAGATCATTTCTTATCTGCCAGGAACAAAATGATATTAAGAGGGTGTCGTCATACTGACAAAGTGTTTGGCAAACCTTTTCTCTTTTTTGTTTACAAACAGAGTACAGTGATGCCAATCACAGGGGAATGAATGCATGACCTCTGTCAATTAAGCCTGGCATTGTTTTCACTAAAGTGATGCATGACTCTGCTTCACTCTTCTCCCTCCAAAAAAAGATACTCTTTCATGCACTTTTAACCAAGATCTGATTTTAACAAATTTTGGGGAGTTTACCACATCATTTAATACTAGGGGAGAGGTTTTTTCGGATTTAACGCATTTTACATTTGACTATTTTTTAATATTTTCTGTGTCAAGGCACATTCGTGTTATCAATACACTCTAGCTCAACCTGCAAACTTTTATTGCAGTATGGCTCGTTGCCAGTTAACTGATGTTTATTCACTCCAGTTACCTGGTTTGTTCATAGTATAGTCTAATCTAGACTACCAAATCTAGTCTAATAGATGGCACTCAGTTTTACAACATTACCAAATAAACCCTAAGTCCAGAACACATATATTAAAACTTACACATCCAGAAGCCATTATTACACGACCAGTCACATCATTTGGTGCTACTGTTAATAAGCTTGGTAATGGCTTGTAGGACATTTTACCAGTGTGACAATGTCCTTAAATTCATTGTACAATCTCTGTGCCAGACAACAAAAAACCTGGATAATATCAGCTAGAACAAACAATTAAACAGAGACTAAATAATAAAAGGAAAGAATAAAACAAATTAAAAAGAAAGATGTGGAAGAACAAACAGGAATACAAGTGGTTATGGATGAAATAAGGTACCAATCCCAGAAATTACCTTACTCAGTTGATTCCCATTCACTCCCACCATAGAAAACTTTCGGGTTATACGTTTCTGTACCTTTCCAGATCTAAATGTCAAAGTGTTTTGTTCTGTTTAATTGAATTATTGTTTTTTTATACTTGTTTTGCAATTAGGAATACTCTTTCCGTTCTCTCATTCATTTCAAACATTGTTGTGATATGGGAAGCAGGGGCTGGGAGAAGGATCAGAAAGAATTTTGGCTTAAATCATGGTTTATTATCTTACAGAGACATTCCCCCTGATGCTTACAGTGCAGCGATTAGATGTGGTTCATACATGCAAATATTTTACTTCAAGTAGCATTTAATCTGCTGAGAGTTGATCCTAACTATTTATCATGCACTGTCACAGCTTTACGATCAGGTTACAATTTTCATTTTTCCTAGCAAGTTAGTAAATGAATTGCTTCCATTTGTGCTTGTTTGCTTGGTTAACCATTTAATGGGAAAGAACAAGGCTGCATTTTACTTGACACATTTTTGTTTGGTTCTCCACATGCAGTCCCCCTCTCCAAGGCCAATATTGCAAATCTAACACTGAACAGTGTGCTCACACTATTTGTTATCTGTTAGAAAGCATGAATCTCATTTATTTCAATTTGTTCACAATCTGTTATTGAATCACATAAACTCCCAGTGAGTCACAGTAATCCACTCCGTTGACGTTTCAGCTCAAGCAAACAAACCAGATTACAAGCTGTGCTTTAGCAAAATGTCATCTGTCCACTCTGTCTGCTAAGTTTAAAATGAAGAAGCATTGTCTTACTTGATAGGATTTTAATATTCAGCATCAAAGTTTGCCCACAAAATATTTTTGTGTGTCATTTCTCATTTACTATAAGCCTATATAATTAAAATAGCTTGTGTAAAACAATTTATATTCCAATTTGATGTGTCCCTTTTGTATCAGTTATGCAGAAAAATAAAATCTGGTAAAATCTGAATTAAATGGTTTCCTAAGTCTGAAATGTATGATTCTAACTGTATGATTTTGACCTGTTAGCAATACAGTGATAATTCCTCCCTCCTTTCAAAACGTGTCTGAAACTAAATAGTGCAGCCTTCTAAAATTGTTTTTTTTATAAAATGCAATTAAAATAAATCTTTTTTCAATATGAACCACCACTGTACTATATGTGACACAGATTTTTGCCCAGTTCATAACTTCTGAATGTAGAACCATATTACATTGATCCATCTTTAAAGATTCACATACAATGTAATACCAACACTAGTTAAGAGATCGATGGGATCCGTGTGAACCATTGATTTGGTGGCATAGTGGTAAACCATTATGTTGCCGATTCAAAGCTTGGGAAAGATAGTCTTCAACCCAAAGTCTATCTGTGGTAAGCTGTCTCTGTGTGTGATGATAAATTGTTCTGGGTTTGTGTGATTGACATATTTAAATAATTCTTATTTTTATTTTATTTCAGGTGAAATCCACTGAAAACTTTGTTTGCCATGGAGCTCTTCTTTTCTTGTACGCTGGTGATTACTATTTGAATATAAGGTTTCATGATGACAACTCGAAGAGGGAACTGCCCCTCTCTTGGTTTTGCTTGCCAAGTGTTCACATCCGTGCCATGGATCCAGTTCAGCACACAATGGTTTAACTCAGCTTGGAAAATAAGGGCTTGTAACTTGGGGTCTAAATTGTGAGGTATGCAAAAGCATTAATTAAATAGTGAATCCCAGATGTGTTATAACTGACCTCGTTACTTTGCTCAATGTCAGCCTCACAGAATTCAGTGAGATCAAGTGGAGTCCAGAGGTTTAACCAATGGACCTTCTGGATTTGCTATTTACAAATCATCTTGTGAATCTCACAATTTACACCCTCCCCCCATTGGGAGCTAGAGCATTAGTGATTATGCCATGCATTGTAAATAGTGATTGACCAGTGAAACTTGCCAACCAGGCGCTCCCTGTAATAGTTCTGGTTTAAAACTACTCTGACGCTGTCTTCAAAAATCTGCTTCTGAGTTTTCCATGAATTTTGCTTGTTCCAATTAGTGTTTCAATTTCTGACAGAATTCTATTTCTGCATTTCAATAATATTGCTTCGGTTATTATCAAACTTTACTGAAGGGGAGAAGAGACAGATTGCACTTTTCGTCAGAATGAAGGCACAGGATCAATGGATCAGGGGACTATTTACTCTCTTACTGAGATATAATATAAGTTTACACTTCATGGCATGGTTAAGTGAAACCTAATGTATAATGATGCCTGGATTTGATAAAGGTTTAATGATTTGGGCTGTGGGAATGATGGAAAGCAGGAGAAAGAATGCCGAGGGAGCATCAGTGTGGTGATAATGATGGCATGTATTCTATACGAGTCTGACATGACTGCGCTGTACTGCTCAAACGTAATGTTCATTTATTCTGTATATTTCTTTTTAAACTCTTCTGCTTGCTGTTCATATGCATGGACACATGATCTATGTTACAGCTGTACAGTATCTCCGTCTGTAAGCGGTGGTTGTATGCCCTATTCACACTGCAATGAAGTGACCGCCGTTCCCTCAAGAGGGAAAGGTTACTCCATGTCCCCAAGAGACAAGTAAAATCGTTTTCAATGTCAACAATATAAACAGTAAAAAAAAGGTTAATACATGTTTCAAACTACCAACCAACCGAAAAATATCATGAATATTTTCTCTTCACAATTAATTACACTTTGAATGTCTGGGATTATCACCAAGTTTTTGGAATGATCAATATTACCAAGGTTTTATCTGTCATTTAGCTGTATGTGAGCAGGCCTCTTGCCTCAGTCATTGTGTTCCAAAGAAATATCAGGAACGTCTGTAACTAATGCCCCATGTATACCAAGCCAATGCTGTTTTGAAGGGTTTGATTTATCTTACACATACCAAAGTCTGTATCTTTGGAAATAAAATTGGCTTGTGTCTTCATCTGTAAATAAATGGTTTGTTTTCAGTTCCACGACACACATTTCATTGCACATTTCATCTTATCACCAGCAGTTGAATAGTTCCTGATTTGCTCTGAATATATAGAACTCATTTTCAACCAAATGTTTGTATATTTCTCATGGGGTGGAGGTGGAATTAGGGTGTGATTTGAATACTCTTTGGCTCTCGTCAACATCTAAAATCACACGGTTCTCACTTCCTCCACCTTCCCGACCTCTCCCTAAAACTCTCCGAACCAGTACGCAATCTAGTCGTCAGGTTCGACCTCCAATTATTCTTCCCCTCCACATCCGGTCCCTCACCAGCATCGCTTTCTTCCACCTCTGATGCATCACCCATCTTCGCCAATACCTCACTCCAAAAGCCGCTGAAACCCTGGTCCATGCCTTTGTCACCTCTTGGCTGGGCTATTTAAATGCCCTCCTCGCGGGTCTCCTCTCCACTACCATTCATAAAATCCAGGTCATACAAAACTCTGCTGCCCGCAGTCATACCCGCACCAAACTCTGCTCCCTGATTACCCCAGTCCTTGCCAGACTGCACTGGCTGTCTGTCCCAGTGAGGATCGACTTCAAGATCCTCACCCTTGTCTTCAAATCCCTCCACTCCTCTGCATTCCCCTATCTCTCTGACCTCCTTTTTCCTCACAACAGTGCCCATTACCTTAGTTCCACCGGGACTGGCCTCCTCCTTGTCCCCCGAGTCCTCCGCTGCACCCTCGGCGGCAGTGCTTTCAGCCACTATGCCCCGAGGCTATGGAACTCCCTTCCTCACTCCCTTTGCCTCTCCCCCTCTTCCTATTTTCAGGTCTCGGCTGAAGATCTTTCTTTTCAACAGCGCCTTTGGTCACCTTACTTCTCCCCCTGGCTCGGCCCCGGGTTCCGTTATTGTGAAGCTCTCTGAGACGCTGTCCAGTGTGGAGGGTGCTTATATAAATACAAGTTGTTGTTGTGATGTGGGATTAAAAAAGAACACTCCATAGCATAAAAGAGGTGAGATTCTTTTGATGAAAACTATCGCTTACAAGATGTAATTTCAAGAATAGAGCAATTCTCAATGGGCACTTGATTATTCTAAAATACTAAAATGTATTTATTCCAATTTCATGACTTTTGAAAATTTGATGTAAGGTTGTATTTTGATTTATCCTAATGAGATAGGTGTGTCACAGGAATCCTTTGGGAAGATGGAATGTGTGGTCCAGATAGATCATTGTTTTTTAGCCGTGTGACAACGGTCTTCATATGCTCTTGATCTGCATGGGTCAATGATCCAGAAGTCAATTTGAGGTTACAAGATGTGATGTAAATTATGTCCTTAATGACCTCCTATACATGACGCAACTGGACGTTTTATGTCTGTAACGTGAAATCTTTGTAATTTTGTGTAGTGTAAGGTTAGAAGCAGAGAAAAAGATAGACGTTGACAAGGAGAATCATAGAGAAATAGGTAGAGAGATATAAAGTGAGTGAGAGAGAGAGAGAAAGAAAGAAATCAAGAAAGAGATCAGAGAGAGAGAATGATTTGGAAAGAGAGAGAAGAGTTGGCACAGAATTGTATAGAGATAGTATAACTCCTAACGGAGCACTTTTTTAGTTAGCTATTTTGGGTTTTGTGTGCTGTCCAATTATCTGCAATGTTTGCATATCCACAATGGGACTGGTACCAATTACTATGAATAATCAGTTCTCTACTGCAGGTCATCAGTGGCCTGGAGATTCCCAACAGTTGCTCATCCGGGTATGGGGTGCATTTATTCCTCACTAGAAAGATATCTAACCTCTGCTCCCCACAGAACATAGCTGAGATTTGTGTACTGGAGGGAGGGTAGAAACTACATATTCTCTATTTTTTGTGGTGACTTGATCCTTGCTACCTGTAACACTGTGTCACAGAGAGTATTTTTATTATAAGAATAATGCCTCTTGTTAATATGCTAACTTGAACACTATGTTACAGAGAGTACTTTTGTTATAAGAATAATGTCTCCTAAGAGGGAAAAGGGTTAAAGATCATTTTTTTCCCCAAGCACTGCCAGATCTGGTAAAGCAGAGCTTCAAATAAGAACATCCCTTGCAATACCAATGTGAGTGTTTCATCTCTGCAGTGCCCTTTCAGAATAAGACTGCCAATTTGTGCCAAATGATGGTCATTTTTTGCTGTTTGCCCAGGTCTATTACGCCTATCAAAACTTATTTTACTCAAGGCCTTTGCAGCTGACTTTTTTTTAAATAAGTAATTAATAATTTAATAAAAACAGTTTAATTATACACAGATATGTTAATATATTTAATTGTGCTAGAGACTATCAAATCTCTGGGCACATTTGAGTTCTGATGGGAACCTCTTCTAAATCCATGCACTAATTACAACATTGCACCTCTGTTACAAGGACAGACTGAGATCCATTTGAATACTAATGTACTCTGAAATAATTTACTGCAGTACTTTTGTGCTTTGATCAAGATTTCAATAATTTGAGTGAATGTGAATAGTTCATTGCTTAAATCAGATGTGAACTTCTCAAGCTTGATGATATGCAGATATAGACAACTGAGTTTCATATTTACTTTTCGTCTGATAGCTGTGAAAAATCTATTTCACTTTTTACAACTCTTATAGAGCACACGTAACTATGCTATATAAAATATAATTTAACAGTTAAATATAGATGGACTGAAGAGTGTTAAAAAGCAGCTACACCTGAGATTTCAGATGATGTCTGAATTTCAAAATGTGCTGTGTCCTTGAACCATTCCAGACTCTAATTTTCTGTATATAATGTACAGGACTTATTGTCGGGCACTTTAATACCAATTTAGAAAGATGATGCATCTTTTCTTTTGCTAGAAAAAGATTGTAGTTGAAGCTGATTGATGACAAACTCCCATGATTGAATCAAATGATTTGATTCAAAATGCTGGTCGACCACATGAATTGAGCTACAATGATATCAGGTTTGATTTCACTCAGTTACAGAGGAACTGCAAATCCCTGGGTAACAATTTAATTTCCTTGGTAGCTGGATGAAGCAGTGGACTCGGCAAGCTATACTTTAACCTATGAAACCAGGTATTTGAATCCCGCCAAGACGCATAGGAATGATCAGTATAATAGGATCTAGCAACTTTATTATAGTGTTGGGAGTGGATAGAGAAAGCTTTTCTCACAAATCCTGTTAATTCTCCAGATTAAACTCATTCACCTCATGTGTAGGACCTTGCTGTTCCAAATAGATGCAATATTTGCCTTTAAAAAGTTGTTATATTTACTTGTAAAGCACTTTGAAATGTTTTGCCAGGTAAGACACTTCTTTTTATATCTGGCTGTGCTATATCTGACCTGAGAGTGGAGAATGCTACCATTATTGCTTCAAGTCAATTACGATGATCTGTTCCCTACTACTGACATCCCTCACCCTGATGAAAATAACAGCCATCAAGAATAGAAATTATTGTAAAATTAAGTCCAGAATCATTGTTTTAGAGTCATGATACAATAAGCTGTATTTTGAATCACTAAGTATTGACTTTGGATTGATAAGCAACCTCGCCCTAAATAGGACCACATATATTAACTGGGTAATGCTTGAGGATCATATTGTTATGGTTTAGATTCTGCTACAGGCAAGGGGGAAATTGATGAATTCTGTAGGCAGAAGCATTCAGCTTGCTAATTTTTGTCTCACTTTGAGTAAATTACCACACTACAACCTACAATTTTGCTAAAATGATAATTAGTATTTCTTAGGTGTATTATATTAAAAGAATTGTTTGGGAGTCAGTTACAAAGCAGTGGCACATCTTGGTTCGGTATTGATTTTGATAAAGTTCATTGTTGTAGTTCATGATGTCTCCTGAGCTCATCAATTTGCTACTTGCTTGTAGCATGATCTGAATCCTAACAAAAGGATCCTCATACCACTAAATGTTTGAATATATAAATGTAGAATAATGGATAGGTGTGAACATATGTGGTCCCGTGTAGGGCAAGAATGTTTATAAAACAAAAGACAATATTTGCTGTTTTTTTGCAATCTTTTGTTTTCTATCATTTTAGTTATCAACAACTGGCTTTTGTGTGACTAGTTATTATTTATTATTTTATGACTAGTTATGTACAACAAATTGGTGAATCTCCATTTTACAGAGAACCAGAATTATCCCTTATCCACTCTACACATATGAATATACACATGCCAGCAGTAATACACTGGAATACTCAATTAATAAAAGCCAAACATGGATGAGTTGGGCTGAATGGGTTGTTTCAGTGCTGTAACTTTCTATGTAGGAAAAAAAATATAGACAATACTATGTAGATACATTTTAAAAACAAGCTGGATGAATATATGACAAAGAATTAATATGGATGATTGCAAGAATAATTGATTAAATACTCAACACAATGTTCAAATTCTATTGGCAACACACACATATATTCCATTGAATACAATCAGTGAGACTTGACCAATGCAGAGTAATGTTAGACTGACATCCCAAAGTGCCCACCATTATATTTCAGGTGCTAGAAACATGCATCAGAATTTAGGTATAAGAATATCAATAATGTTCTCTCATTGCCCTTTATTACTGGACAATACAGAGATGCAAGTCTTCGCGTATATTTGTTTCCTGCCACTTTGGCTGGTATCCAGTGTAGCCCAGGGATTGATACTGGGACCTTCATGCTCTGTAAAGGTTCTCATAAATGGTCAAGTTCTGCAATATTTTGGTCAATTATTTCCCCTCCTATTCTGATGGTAGCAACTCTTACAGGATACAATTCCGTGTATCAACCAATCAGAGAAAATAGTGTATTAATCAACTCCACAAGGACAACTCAGATATAGGTTGTCTTCAGAGGAGATAGAGTATAAAAAGCTGCATCATAATTGGTGGAACTGGTTCTTTATGCCTCTCACTTGTCCGACTCTGTGGATTAGGAGAGGAGATAAACAAAGAGCTGTTCTTTTGCA